CGAATCTGAGGATAAATGCGTAAGAGTGTCATTTCATCAGGCAAGAGCTGCTGTACCTAGGGCACCGAATAAAAAGCTATGGGATTGGCATGGATCCGCAATTACGGAGCTACAACCCCCAACCAACGTAAAAGGTTGAAGCTACAATCTCCAAAGTGGCCGGTAGATACTTCTTGCCAAGGATACAGAGAAAATATCCGAAAATATGTCAGGAGGTGCGAAACGTGCATGAGAAACAAGCCGAAGCAGATGCAAGCGGCGGGGAAAATGTGAACGCAGTTCCCAGAAGAGCGACGGTGTGTGCGGTTTTTGTGTTTTTGTAAAATTTGTGTTTAGAAAATTACTTAAAACTTAATGGATCGAAATGCAAACTCGTGGCTTTTTATTGATCTAGTCCTCATCAGGCTATGTACTTTCTCTATGGGTGCACCGTTACAATCTGGGTTTCCTATTAGATTTTAAACTAAAGTTCTGCGACCATATTGCCACCATGGTTAAAAAAGTTAAGTTAAGTTTTAAGATTGGTCTTGGCCAAACGAATTCACTGGCCCCTATTTAACAAAAACTTTATACGTATCTTTTGGTCCGTCCAATGCTTAAGTTTGAATCGTGTGTCTGGAACTGTCAATTCGAAGTACACCGAGACCACATCGAGTAAAAATAAGAAAAGGTTGCTGATTTTTGCTCTTAGAGGACTAATTAGGGATGAAATCTCCATCTCCTACTATTGCAGATTTTTTATAATGCTGGGCGTCGGATTTAAAGCCCTATAAGTGGGGATGTAAATAGCCAATAATGTAAATCTACCTAAAATTTAAGGTTCCTAGTAAAAGAACTATAAGCTTTTGTCTTCTACTCCTTAGCCATTGTAGTTTCACATATGCTCCGCTTGTTTCCTTTACGGTATTATGATCGGACTACAATGGTCTTCTCCACATAACATCTTTAATTTAAGAAAGAATATAAGAAAAGAAGAGCTTCGCTATACTTTTATCTTTAATACTTCTATTCTGAACGCCTTATCTGAGCAACACTTTTCCTCGTAATCTTCTACACTTTTTTTACCTTAAACAACTGAAAAACTACGCTTTCTGTACTAATACAAATGAAAAACTACTAATATTCTGTACGGAGCATCTCCTGATTGTGTCGCTCTGTTTGTTCACTGTCACATCTTCACATACATGTCGACCAACAATTGTTGACAAAGCTCACGCTGTCATGAAATGATGTTGCGTGATGACCGCGTCTAACCATTAAACAAAACGATTAAAAATTCTTCGAGCTAAGTCTTATTTGTTTCGGTTCCAATATTAATTGATTTTTTCTTTAATAGTACATCAATTATGTTCATATTAAGAAGAACTTCTTAATAATAAATTAATTTTACGTTATTTCCACGTTCTTCTTTCTTTTGTTTGTCCCATGTTACGGGATCTCGTTTTTTATTGTTTAGGTAATATTTGTCTTGTCTGTTTCAAAAAATTATGGATATGTAAAAGCGTCATCTTCGTATATGCTCTCCAGCTGGTGTTCTAACAGGATTAATGACAACAGCGTGATTGTAACTTTGTAGTTGTTCATGTGTGATTTTAATAATTTATTAGGTCCTTGTGTGCATTTAGCAGAGTTTCCAGCAGGCCAACGATATGTCTGACAAAAGGTGAATTGAGATTATGGTAGTCACAACATGCATCTACGCGATTGGAAAGTGCACGTGTGGAGTCCTCGCCACCCATAAAGTAGATTTGAAAAAATAAAATTTATTAGGCATTGACAGCAATGAGCCCACTTTTTAATACCCTTGGCCTTTGATTTTTAACGTGGTAATAAATTGTTGACCATTAACAAAAATATTCATAACTATGTATGTTGCTGTTGCTCCAAACGGTGTCCAACCAACATTTTTTTTAATATAACAAAAGAATTTCATGTAATGAAGTAGTAATGTACTGCAATGCAGTAACGAAGACATCTCGGACTCTTGAAATTGTGCAAATACACAGTCAGGATCACCTTTTCATATGAGGATATGAAGAACGGACAGACAGTCCGTCTGTCTGTTTCAAAGATTAATTTAAGCAGGGACATTCCTTTATCTGCTTTACATCACCCGATTAAAATCTTCCAGCTCCAACATGCTTCAACAATCGCAAACGCACCGTAGTACATTCAGAATAGTACATAAAACATAACAAAGAAACTTTCATCCAAACCATCTCACTTTCGATATTACTGCGAGTCTGAGCCAAGAGAGTTTTGCCGAAGCCGAAGGTAATTTACCCTGGTTGTTAAGATCCTACATATATGTCACAAATAGCTGATCCCTCTAAGTATTTTCTTCGTATCTTAAAAAATACCAAACTTAGTTTAGTCGGCTAATCCTTATTAAATTTAGTAGAAAGATTCCGTTCCAATCAAAAATCAAACTGAGAATCTAGTATGCGGAAAACCAGACTCGACAGATGCGACACATATCATTTCGTGATTTGATTTTAGTAGAGATGCCAGCCGCATAAAAAAAGGAATTTTACTCTGGTCAGACTTTTACAAACAGTAAACAAATCCAGAATTGCGATGGATAAACTTAAATTTTTCATAGAACCTGAAAATTAATTTCCAAAGTCGCTAAGTGGAAATTTTATTCAATTAGTGCACGGCGTTGCACCTGATTTGTAACACCAATTCATACTTTGAGGGTGAAATCATAATCCACTATCTTATGCTGCTTGAAAATTCACGAAATGGCGTTTATACAAGTTAATAATAAGTTATTGGTGCGTAAGTTTTTCAGATATTATTTATTAATCATTTGTTTCACTCAATCCCGTTAGGGTCTGGCTACTGACAAAGATAGAATAAAATATAACGCGAGCTAAGGCTGCGGAGTTCTACGTAAGACTAAATTAAAATACTACCCGGGCTGTACTTCGTAGCCTTCGTTGGCTTCCGTATCCGGCCAGAAACGATCACTTGTTGCGCAAGTGCCCGAGCCTGTCCGCGGACAGTTTGCCCTTAACGTATTTTTATACCCTTGCAGAGGGTATTATAATTTTGTCCAAAAGTGTGCAACGCAGTGAAGGAGACATCTCCGACCCTATAAAGTATATATATTCTTGATCAGGATCACCTCCTGAGTTGATATGAGCATGTCCGTCTGTCTGTCTGTCTGTTTCAACGCGTACTAGTCTCTCAGTTTTAAAGCTATCGACATGAAACTTTGCACACACCCTTCACCCTTCTATAGCTGCCATATAACTGATTGATCGGAAATGGTATAACTTTGGTGTTTTTAGAGTTAGAGAGTTCAAATTTTACATGAGAGCTATTTTTAGCAAAATATTACATGCCAAATTTCATAAGGATCAGCCGACTATATCCTATAGCTGCCATATAACTGAACGATTGGAAATGGTATTTGCTAGAAATACCAACTTTGGTATTTTTGAAGATAGAAGCTTGGGACTTTTTTTTTAAATATTTTATTGTAATTAATTGGTTTTATTATGATAATCTCATAAGGATATTCGATGTTTGCGATTGTTAAGAGGAGCCCCAAATAATTAGGTCTTACTCCAATGAGCTCCTTATGGAAACTGATTTTATTCTGTAAAGTTCTCTTATAAGTACGATACATGAGAATCTTAAATCTATTTAAAACTACTTGTCAACGCACTGCACGCTGACCTGCTATGCGACCCTTTCTCCAGTGCGAAAAGCGCACCACTTGAGAACATACATATTTGTGTAGGCTGCAGGGGATCGGTTTTAAACCATGCTGTTTGACTCGTTTTTCATGGGTCCGATCCCTTAAAACTCTAACTTAAGAATTTTTATATAAACTAGTTTCAATGCTTGAACAGAGATATATATCCGGTTTTAACTGCAAGGGTATATCAACTTCCGCTCCGCCCGAAGTTAGCTTTACTTTCTTGTTTTTTATGTATTTGTTAACGAACTTGCATTGAAATCTTTAATTAAAAGCTATTTCTGATGTGTTTATACCCAATAATATAAAAGAACAAGGGTATATTGTATATGTATGTGCAACAAAGATATTATCGATCAGCAACAGAATCGATATAATCGTGTGCGTTTGTCAGTCTTAGTCAATCTTAGTTAGTTCCGATTTTTTCTAAAACCCAATACATACATCAAAAGGGAAAATCTTTGATTTAAAACTATTTTAAAGGCTAAAGTTACATATGTATGTATATTATATTGTGAACTTTTAATCTGCTTCGTCTTTATTTAGAAGACGAATTCTTCTCTAGTGTCCATAAACAAAGCACCTATAGCAGGTGAAAAGAAAAAGTTTTAAGAATACATTTTTTTAAAAGTTAGTTTAACTAAATATAACCTTTATAAAAAAAGAAATGTGAATGAGAGTGGAAAAGAAAAGTATCTGTCGATAGGTATCGATAGGTAAGTACCAGGTATCATATTGTCGATAAATTAAAATCGTTTTTACTTTTTTGGAACCTGTTTACCCCTTCCAAGAACAAAAAAAAAGGCCCTTTTAAAATGAAAAAAGAAATAAGTTCACATAGTGAATCATGCTATACTCTTGCAAAAAGTACTTATACATATATGTATATTCAATCCGATTAAGTCTTTAGCGAGGTGAAATATATATAAGCAAAAATAATAAAACCTAGATATTTAGTATATTCGAGTGCCTGGTTTTCCATTTTTCTACTTGCTATTTCTTGCAGTTTTTCTTTCTAAGAAACATAATAGATACACAAGCCCAGGATGGAAATTTCTAAGCCCCATTTTGTCTTCTTCTATTTCAAACAATGGGATCATTTTATTTCTACAAGTTTCTACATTTTATCAAATTCTATCTTTAGATTCGAATTCAATTTTTATGTTTAATAAGTGTATTTACACGTACTACTTAGTTTTGACTGTTTTTTATATTATTTTGAAAACGTTTATAAAAGTTTATACGACCCACTTATAATCCATATTATCCATTTCTCAAAAACCCGTATGTTCTATAAATACTTCATTCAGTTGCTTCTCGAATTTTAAAATGCATTACAATGAAGCACTATCAATTTTGTAGAACCATTTATAATTTGTTATTGGTAATTGGTGCCACACTGTCTCCTTTATCGGCACAAAACTATTGCGATTCGGATCTGTGCCTATCTGGAAGACATATAGCCTGTCAAAATACCGGCGTAAGTTTTCCAAAAATTTTATATGTATTTTTTATAAAAAAAAAAATCAAAAAGAAAATTTATGTTATTTTTAATTTTCATATATGTATGTATAATATAATATCATATGTTATAATTTATTTTCATATATAATATTATATTTCATATATAATACATATATAAGTAATATATATGCGTTTTTATATAATGTACTGGGCCCAATTTAAGCCCAATTGTTGAATCTCTCCTGCGAATAATACCAACTGCAAATCTCCCCAGACCCGTAAGAAGAGACGGGGTGGATGGGAGGGGAAGTTAATACAAAAACATTCAAAACAAGCAAAAAATCAAAAACAAAATAAAAACGGTGAGGTCTGAAATTATGATGCACCATTCGAAAGGTATTGTTTAAATTAGATCATTTTTATTGATCTGATTTATTTAGTTTAGGAAAAATTTGGTGAAAGTGAAAAAATATTCAAAAACTAAATTGGGCTTAGTTGGAACATTGGATTCCTATATTTATTCGGCACGTCCAAGGAAAAAAAATATAATAAGGGAAAAATATAATACATATAAAATAAAATAATACACTAACTGTGTAGAATATTTAGAAGAATATTTTTCAATGTGTAATTTTTTTGTGAGCGAGAGGCCAATAGGTGAAAATCCGTTTATGAGCGGGTGCACCAATGCAACACGCAGCACCAATGAACGCTTCGCAGGTCCCTTGCAAAAAGATTAAAAATTTGAATCCTTGATCCCGTTTTACAGGGTCAGTGATATACTTGCAAGACATTTTTGGGGTTTTTTTCCACCCTTGCCATAATTTTGTCCAAAAGTGTGCAACGCAGTGAAGGAGACATCTCCGACCCTATATTCTTGATTGGATCACCTACTGAGTTGATATGAGCATGTCCGCCTGTCCGTCTGTTTGTTTCTACTCAATCTAGTCTCTCAATTTTAAAGCTATCGACTTGAAACTTTGCACACACCCTTCTTTTCTTTTCACGCAGTATATGAGTCGGTCGGGGTCGGCTAACTATATCCTATAGCTGCCATATAACTGAACGGTTGGAAATGACCCAATTTTCGTGTTTTTGAAGATAGTTTGGTCAGTTGGTCTCACCTACCAAATTTCATAACGATCAGCCGACTATATCTTATAGCTGCAATTTAACTGAACGATCGGAAGTGTTATTTGCTAGAAATACCAACTTTGGTATTTTTGAAGATGGAAGTTTGCGGTTTTTTCTTAGATTTGTATTGTAATAAATTGATTTTATTATGATATTTCCGTAAAGATCGGCCAACTATATCCGATGTTTGCGATATATATCCGGTTTTAACTGCAGGGGTATATCTAAAGAAGTAAGTCTCCTGCTCTGAGAGAGAGTGATTGTCCAAATTTTTTTCGGTTGTTCTCATAAGCTGAACTTAAGGAAAAAAAAGGTTAACATTTATTTTTGTTCTTTAGATTTTCGTTTTCGGTTGAGTGTTTTACGTTGAGAGATTTGTAAAATGCTCGCCTACTGAACATCGCTATGATATGATAGACGTTCGCACAGAGACCCTCATAAAAAGACCGATTGACCGAAAAAGTCAATTCAAAAAGTCTTTTCAACACTTTGAATTCTGTTCGATGCACTGTGGAACAATGTTTTTTATTTTTTAATTTTTTTTCTCTTATATTTATTTAAAGTTCAGCGTAAAAATAAAGAGTAAGTGTTTTGGGTATTTATTGAACTCCGTCAACGCTTAGAAAAAATTTTAAAGCTGAAAATGCTCACTCAACAGATGCTTCAGTAGCCGGGTTGGCCAAGACTACATGTACAAGCGGACTCAAGTTTGGCGATTTTAGCCTTACATTTGTAAAAAAATCTTGTATATCGTCGTTCTAATTTGGTTTATTTCCCGTCCCATTTTCGTTTTAATTATTTTCTCTGAATGTCATAAAGGCAAATGAAACAAGACCCACTAACTTTGACATACACACATACATACAAAAAAGATTTTTTGAATCGTCTGGCAAAGTCAAACGGTCCTGGAAAGAACAGAGCATTTGGGAACAGAAAATATTGCTAGTCATTTGAGCGAGAGCAAAATTTTCATACGAACAAAGCAAACGGTTGCTCTCAGACTTTTTGATCAAAGACTCATTAAACAACACTTATTTTGAGACCCCAGCAATCGTTTAACAGTTATTTGCGAACTATGGATAGGAGAACTCGGATTGTGCAGCTTTGAGTTTGTCGGGAGCTAGTCGTCGGGCGCGGGTTTGAGTAGACCGTTTGGGCGTTGCTGGTTTAGGTTTGTATTTTCGTGCCATCGCAATTCATTGACGGAGAAAAGAAGCTTTGGAGTGAACATAGTTTTTAAGTTTTTGCAGGGTGCAAACTGGCAACAAAAATTGTCGTTGATGGAGAGGCGGGCAATTGTTTTGTGGTCTTCTTCGAATTTGTCCGCCGAATCCGAAAACTGTTAAACACAATTTGATCAATTTCACTGAATTTTAATTTCTAGATACATATATGTATGCAATGTGTTAGTTGATATATTTTCTGCATGGTTATTCTTCCTATTTCATACATTTTTACATTTTTTTACATTTTTATACGTACACAGAAATTCAATAAATAGCATTCTACTTTCCAAAAACACTTCCTTCGATCAGACAAAAACTTTCATTGAAAAATTACAACAAACGACAAAGATCGGCTGACTATATATGTATATAGCTCCCACATACATAACTGAAGTATCTAAAATGACACAACTTTCGTGTTTTTGAAGATAGAACGTTAAAACTTTGCACAGATTCTATTTTTGGTCAATTGATCTAACCATTAAAATGTCATCAGAATATGTCGACTATATATTACAGCTGCTATATAACTGAACGATCGGAAATAGTATTTGGTAAAAATACCAACTTTGGTATTTTTAAAGATAGAAGCTTGGGACTACTTTTTAAATGCAATTTTATCCGATTTTAACTGATTGAATATGTGGCAAACCTTCTCAGATCCGTTCTCGAGCAAACTCGATAACTCACGCGAGTATCGATATTAAGAGACACAGCTTTGTCCGCCGCCACTGCAGAGTCTTTGCCGCATTTATCTCTCGATCATCTTTCTAGTTTTAAATACAAGTATATAGTGAACAATAAATATAAGCAAAGCAAATTGGTGACCCCGACGTGATCACTATATACACGCGAGTACTGGTGCTTACAACGGCAAACAACGACGCCTCACAAGGCGACGCCGAGGTTTTTCACGATACCGTTACTCGCGGTGTTGACGTAGTTATCAACCGTGTAGCTGTGAAAATACCGCCGTTTTGGCTCGAACACCCAGAATTATGGCTATCGCAGGCAAGTACAAAAATTTGAAATCGTGCATTCTGGAACGCTTCTGCGAAAGCGAACAAAAGAAAATCCAGAAGTTAATATCGGAGACCGACCTTGGTGACAAGTGCCCCACGCAACTGCTCAACGAGTTAAACGCACTCGCCGCAAACAAAGTTCAAGAATCTTTCTTGAAAGCACTGTGGCTGCAGCGCTTACCAACACAAGTGCCAGCGATCTTGCAAGCATCGGACGCCAGCCTAGCAAACTTAGCCAAGTTGGCAGATAAAGTGATGGAAGTCGGTGGTTTTCATCACGTACGCACCGTCGACGCCAAGTCGGCGCCAACCAGCAGCGCCGTTTTCGACGATCGTCTAAACCGCATCGAACAACAAATCAACGCGCTGTTCAAAAACCGTTCTCGCAAGAACAGCTTGCGAACGGATCGCAACAGCGTCATAGCTGGAGTCATGTGTTGGTACCATAGCAAATTTGGCAACGCCGCCAAGAAATGTCGCCAACCATGCTCTTTTTCATCCGAACCAAATTTTCATCCGGCGCCGACATTTCAGTGATGCCACCCTGCAAAAACGCAAAAACTATGCTCACTCCAAAGCTTCTTTTTGCCGCCACTGGCACGAAAATACAAACCTATTGAGAAAAACGCATAGCATTGTCACTGGCATTGTCGGGCTACGATGCTGGAATCAAAATGTCACGCGCCTTAACGCAAATCAACGCGATTTTATCCTACGACACGAGTAACCAATACGCTACATTGCTTCACGAATATCGCGATCTCGCAACGATCAACTCGAACCGGCTGCCAGCAACGTCCGAAGTAACGCACTTAATCTCGACCAACCTACTCACGCCCTCGCCCGACGACTAGCGCCCGACAAACTCAAAGCTGGACAATCCGAGTTCTCCTACCTCTCCAGCCCTTTGCACCTGGTAAAGAAAGCAAATGGAGAGTGGCGACCGTGCGGCGACTACCGAGCACTGAACAACGTAACAGTGCCGGATCGATATCCTATTCCGTACATACTGGATTAACGAGCCTCTTATAGAAGATATAAGAAGATATTAAGGTAAAAAGATATTTTCGAAAATCGATCTGCAAAAAGCATATCACCAGGTTCCTGTCGAACCACAAGATATTCCCAAAACAGCAATTATCACGTCTCTTGGGCTATTCGAATTTTTGTTCATGACGTTCGGTCTGCGCTTTGAGAAGTGCCAATTCGGTAAGACACAACTCACATTCCTGGGACACGACATCAGTCAGCACGGCTTAAAACCATCCGAAGCCAAAGTGGAATCCATTCGGCACTTTAAAAAACCGCTTATCGCTAAAGACCTAAAAAAGTTTCTGGGTATGATTAATTTCTATAGGCCGTTTATTCCACGAGCAGCCGAGAACCAGCACATACTCCAGACGCTGATCCAAGGCAATAAAAAGAACGACAAAACCCCGATACTTTGGTCTACAGAAGCCGACTACGCATTCACCGCCTGCAAGAACGAGCTTGCAAACGCTACGTTGTTGAACTATGTACATGGCACCAAACTCACAATTAACGCTAACCACCGATGCATTCGATGACGCTATGGATGCCGTAGTACATCAGATCATCAACTGGCAGACACAACCACTGGGATTCTTCTCCTG